GTGAAGCCATGGAGCCTGGCCTCAGTTCTAAAAAAGCCTCAGGGGCAGGGTCCTGGGGCTTGGTGGTAGTGCTGGAGACCTGGGGGTGGGGCCTGGCGACAGCCAAGGAATCTCAAAGGCAGAACTACAGGGTCTGAGCTATAGGACTGGGCAGCAGCATGGGAACTGTGCAGAGCTGCTAGGCTGGGTGGCAGCATGGGGGTTGTGGGGTCGGGGCAACAAGTCTGGGATGCTGAGCAGCCAGAGCTCTCCTCATGCCCAGGTCCCATGGAGGCAGTTGCTGCGGGCTTCTCAGGTGGTGTCCATGGTGCCCATTCTGCTCAAATCCCTGTGGGGGGAGGGGCACTTGGCTCCCAGTCATGGTGTGTGTGAAAGCGTCTGCTCTACTCCCCCTGCTTCCTCCCAGCCTGGCCAGGGCCACACGGAGGTGGCTGCCACAAAGCTCAGCCCGGTGTAGACCAGGTGCTCTGGACCTGAGAGCTCAGAATGGTGTCAGCTGCAGTGACCCGGGAATGGAAGCCACCAGATCCCCTCTGTGCCCACGCTCTAGAGCGGTGTCTCTGCGCAGATTCCAAGTAGCTCCCTGATCAGACTGGAGCTCTGCAATGGTGCCCCACAAAACTCAGGTTGCAGTGTCTGTGTGGGGAGCATGGAGCCCCAGGATTCTCTCTTCTTATCCTTCCCTGTGTGTACTTTCCAGTCTTACAGAATGAATCACCCCCGTCACCATCTCTTTCACTCTGTCTCCCATGCTTCTCTGATGATTCGCAATGTTCTTTTCAAAAGGCCCATGCACAGGTGGGCATCCACCTGCAACTTTCATCTTCTCCTTGAGCATGGTGCATGCAGGCTGCTTCTAGTCTGAAATCTTGCCCCTCCTTCAGAACTTTTAATGCTCTCATGTTTAATGTTTGATTTTTTTTTTTATTTTGATGTGGTTTCACTGTCGCCCTTCATCTTACATTGTATTCTAATGAAGATTTTCTTCATTTCCCTCTTCAGAAAATTAGTGGGATTTATTTTTGTCCGAACAAACAAGTTCCCAGATATTGGCAGTAGATGGGTGTTGATGGTTTTTGGAGCCCTTCATGTGACATCAGTTAAGTTATTGTCAACTCACTCAATGAGACCAGCTGAGCCATATTAACGTTGACCTTCAATTATCCTAACAGGTGTAAAACATTCTTGCTACCACACAGGAGTTCATTTATTTTCTTTTTTATGATTACAAAAATAAATTCTGTCCCTGTGCTGGGTTGGTATCATATATCTCAGGTACTATAAACAAAAACAGAATCACAGTACAAATCCTGTGTTCATGATGCTACAACTTCTACAGGGGGTAGAATTGCTTACTTGAAATTTGTTGAAAAGTTTCTTAAGTCTTCTTTTAGGGATAGTACTGTATTTGGTGGGCTTAAAAGATTTTTCATTACCTTTCTTTTATATTTTTACTATTCTAAGAGGTTGATCAAGGATATTCTGGGGAATTTCTAAAATAACAGTGTCAAAGACAAAGGTTAATCTGTCATTTTATGTAGGTATAATATTAAGTAACCCAAGTAGACCAAGAAAGAATATTTCTATCATGAGTTTGTTTTTACATTGGGAATATTTTTTGTATGTACTTTTGTTTAAATATCAAAAAATGATTTATATACGTTGCAGTGGCATTTTTAACTGTCATCGTTAACCAGGCTACAGTTAAAATAAAATGAATGTAGTCATTTATCTGAGACATCCTTGTGAGAGACAGATAACCTTATTCCAGTAGTGGGCAGAAGAAAAATACACCATAAATTTAATCTTAAATGCCTTTTTAATTAAGTTGAATTGAGTCTGCTAAAAGTTGGAACACAAATAAGATCTCACTGGAATGAAGATACACATTTTTTTAATTGCTATATTTTTGCAGGGCTCTGTGATAAGCCTTCCTCTGGGCTTGTTCCTGGACTAATGTTGCTAGCTGGAGGATGCTTTGCAGAAATCATAAGGGAGGCTGGAGTCTAGGATAGATCTGGATGATTCATTAGATTTATTTTTATGATTGGTTAATTATTGTAGGTAGTTAATATAGTTAATATTTTGTCTTATTGACCAGGTTCAAACAAAGTGGATGTGTATTTTTCACATGGATATTTAAATTATTTTGGAATTCTCTGAATTTGTTTTAGTATTAAGTATTAACATTTACATCTAATATTAAATTTAAATTTATGGCCATGGTATGCTATCCTTATAGGAAGATAGTAACATTTAAAAAGGTTGTTACTGCCTTCAGGGAATTCAATCAACTATTCTCTTGACTAACAAATATTTATTGAGCCAATAAACTGTACCATTTGTTAGCAGAGGGGGAGATAAATGAGAAGCCCAAGATGTAGTTTCTGTACTCACAACTATGTTTTTATTAATAGCAGAGCAGATAATGAATCAGTAGTGTTGAATAAATATATTAATATATAATGCTCATAATTTGTAAAGGAATTAAGAATAGAAAACCAGTGGGATATTGCTTTGCTCACTGCTGTATCATTGTGGGCTAGAAGAGTTCCAGGCATATAGTAGATCCTCAGTGCACACTTGTTGAATGAATGGCCAAATGGCCATACAGTTAGAGTTATCAGAATCCACTGAAGGCTCGTACTTCCAACTGGGCTAGTCAGGGAAGGCTTCATGGAGTAGGTAGGATTTTAATTGCAGAGAGAGAGGGAGAGCTGTCTTTAGCTAGGGAATGGTGTGAAGGCTCCTGAGGAGACGTCGGAGCTGACAGTCATGTGGCAGTAGTGGGAGATCAGGCCGGAAGGCAAATTTTAGAAAGCGCTGGAAGACAGGCTTAGGTTTCCCTGTAGAGTGGAGGGTGAAAGGGATGTTTTAGAAATAGTAATCTAGAGGTGTTAGACCAGATGCATTGAAGGAGGAGGAAACTGAAGTGCACATTGACAAGGCTTGGTAATTAAGTGGGTTGACGAGGGAAAGGAAGGCGTCAAAGATGGTGACAATCTTGTTTTGAGCCTATTGACTTGGATAATAGTAAATGCATAAACAAAAATAGGGCAGTCAGAAGGAGGAATTAGCTTTCTGTGGGAAGGTTTTTGTGTTTTAGGTCTCTTAACGTTTAAAGTAATAGGGACACTTGATGTGGACCAATAGAAATCACAGAAGCATGGAATATTAGACCTAAGAGGGATCTTGGAGATTGAGTTATTAATTAGACTCAAATACAACCCTGTTATCTTACCAATGAGAAAGCTGACTGGGTTCAGGAACAGCCCCCAGAAATGCAGTCTCTGGCCTTGTGGCAGAGCACGAGTAGGCTGGCAGATGCAGAGTCATTTACAGTGTCATGAAGGGTGCTTAAAAAGTATTCTTTCATTTGCAGTTTGAGTTCTTCTTTTAAATTTGAAGAGCCATTGTACAAATAGATCCAGATAATACATTTGGAGATGTCATCTATGTAGTATGACACTGTATTGTAAGATTCAGATAAAAATTCTTTAAATATTAGACAGTATACACGTTCATTCTTAGTAATATATACCCTGTTAACTTGCCCCCAAAAGTGATATCAGTAATCAGTCTTTCTTTTAATAATATCCTAACATTTATGTTTAGTAATTTCTATGTAGTTATCACTGAGTTGAAGTGTACTGAATTCTAAACATATTTTGCACTGCAAATGTTCTATCTTGGACTTTTGGTCTGGGGTGCCATATTGCCTCATCTGAGGGGAAGGTAGCTGCTAAGGCTTCCTACTGTTAGCCTCCCTAGGTGGGTCTCACCCTAACCTCTCTTCTGCTTCAGATGTCACTAGGAATGATGGGAGTGGTCTTAAGTGGAATTAGTCCTGGACATGTGTTACATATGAGCAGTGTGCTCCAAAGTGTTGGGGGCCAGTTTTCACCCTTGGCATAGCTGCTTCTGTTCTTCAATCCCTGTTACATATAAGGATAGAAAATAATGTTCCTCTTCCAGCTCACACCCTTTGTATCTGCCTGTCCCAGACCCAAAGATGCAAGTGTAACAGTGGCTTTGCCTTCTGGAGCCCTTGGGTGATCTTCCAGGACTGAGCTGATCTTAATGTGTGGGCATTCCAGTGACTTCTCTGCCTCCAACCATCTGCCTTCTGGGTCCACAGCTCAATGGAAGGAGAGTGCTGAATGGACATGGGAAAAGGGCGCCTTAGTTCCTTTCTCCAGCTAAGGGAGACAAGGAAGGGAGTGACTGGGAAATGTGTAGTGTGAGAATAGATGGGAATCACCAGCTCTTTTACAGTAGAATGAAAGATGGCATGATTAGACCTGCATCATCACTCATGAGGAAGCAAAATGACCATAAAATATTAACATCTAGTAATTAACCATCATAACCCAAACTGTTCTTTCGAGAATTTCCTCTTTCTTAAATTGCAGCGATAGCAATGAGATTAAAAAGAATATTAGTCTTACAAGCTTATTTTAAACCAGTTCCTAGCAGTAGTAACTGCTTTTGTCATCATGGGAATGCTGAGAGTTTATTAACAACCAATCTATAGGCCAAGCATTTTAAAATTAGTGATCTGAAGTAATGAGATGTTAGGAAATCCTGACCAGCTGATATTTGGCATTGGAGAAGGAGAAGCAGAGATAGATCTACTTGGTGAATTCACATGTCTGTGGCTCCGGGTAGTGGGCACAGGGACATTATAGTAGCAGTTAGCCTTGGATGAGAGAACAAAACTTCCAAGTATAAATGGGAAACTTGCAGCATTGCTAGGTAGAGCGTTTCTAGATTGGGACTCATGAACTACTTTTCAACCTGAAGGCTTCAGGAATAGGCAGGCTCCAGATTCTGCAAATACCGAATGAAAAGCCAACCCACTATTCTTGGATTTATAGATTCAATTTACTAAATTGAAGGACACTTGCTCTTTTTATCTAACGGAACTAGCCGGCCCCTGCATGCTGAGTTTCTGTGGCAATGTGATCTCAGTGACCTCTCTTCTCTATTGTGGAATGTAGGTGAAAAGAACGGAGGGGAGCCCGATGATGCGGAACTGGTAAGGCTCAGTAAGAGGCTGGTGGAGAACGCAGTGCTCAAGGCTGTCCAGCAGTATCTGGATGAGACACAGAATAAAAACAAGCCAGGGGAGGGGAGCTCTGTGAAAACCGAAGAGGCTGATCGGAATGGCAATGACAGCGAGAACGACAGGAAATGAAGCCCCAACGCAGGTTCCTGCTGCTCCAAGAAAAGCATCCCTGCTCCCCTCTGCTGAGTCTAGAGACTGACTAGCCATTTGCCGTTTAAGTTTCTCTTGTCCAGTCCATGGAGATTGCCTAATATTTTGTGATCGATGTGTTTGCATTTCCAAAACACGACAGAAGAGGAATGGAGTGCTGGGACTGGCAGAGAAAATGACTTTATGAAAGAGGAATGTCCCAAGTTTCACTTCCCCTCCACCAGGCACGAGGGAGAGGGGACTTGGGTTATGCCTCCTGGACACTAAGGCCATGGAAGAGGCCTTGCCATAAACAGAATACTGCCATTTATATTGACTAGCAGGGCATTTGACTACTTTATCTGAGGCCAAAACTCTCACATACAGCTATCAAGTGCTAAGTTTAAAATAATCACTGTTGAAATCATCTGTACTAGTCCATGTTTCATGTTTTCCTAAATGTGCTATTGCTATGCAGTGATCTTTATTTATAGTAAATTATGTCTCATGTAAATGATATATTTTTGGTGAAATGCAACCTTTTCTATAAAATGTGAGCAACGTTTTCAAGGTTTTTTTAACCTTGATATGTCAGTGTGCCGTATTTAATGTCTTTCATTGGCATTTGTACTTTAAATTATATAATTTTTTTTTCTTAGGCAAGAAACCTATTGGAATTCAAGACTTAATTAATGAAGCACTGCGTCAAGAAAGGATGGGTCTGAAGTCCAAAGTGAAAGAGATAAAGGAACTTTTATTAAAGCCTGAGACTCAGAACAAAATTAGGAAGGAGCTTTTTGAAGGAAGACTCATTAGCAACAGTAATCAGGCAAATCATGTGGATTTTGGTATGACTTTGACATAAGCTCTACATTGCTATTATGGCAACATAGTTTGTGAAATCTTTTCAGCTTATTAAATAACTCTTTGGTAAATACCAAAGAAGTGTCCCGGCAGTGTCTGCACAACAGCAAACCAACATTTGGTAAGGAATTAATTTCTTGCCAAAGAAAACTGGTTCAGCCCTATTACTTTTTGAGCAAAACTTGTGTTTTAGAATGTCTGTTTCTGTTATATTGATGATTGCTTCATAGAAATGACTTCTTAATTAGCTGTTGTGAGATGTTTCTCGGGTCCTTGCAGATAAAAATATAGACTGTGAAAAAAAATCATTTACAGACAAAAAACTAAGCCAACAACAGTATTTTAAGGGTCACTTGCCTCCTGTTAACATGATTGTTGTTAAATCAACAGAAGCACTGTTCAGGCCCGTCTACATCTAGTGTTACTTTTAATGAGAATTTGAATGTTTATTGAATATTAGTACTTGAATGAACATTTATAAATGTAATTATTGTAATCACTGGTTAGGAACGTTTTATAATATCCATATATTATTTTTCACAGATCAAAACATAGTTTGCTTTTTCATTTCTTAATGAATAAATGTTTGGGATTTTTATTTTCTACTTTTTTGAAGATAAGCTCCAGGTTTTATCATATCCCTTGTAATCTGAATTTGTTTGCACTGGTTTATTTTTAAAGAGCACTCTTGAAAAATTTCCCCAAATATGATTATTGTTAACAGCTTTTTCTATAGTCATTGTAAAATTGCTGCTACCAATAGATCATGATGGAGGGGGAAGTTATTGGAGATCAAATAGGTAATCATTTCAAATATAAAATCCAGTTTACTCATGGATTTTAGCTATTTTTTCACTGGGTAAATTATACTGCATTTATTTATAAATGAGTTTATGCATTTTCATGCCTCTTAATAAATGTATTGTTTTCCCTTGTTGCCTTTCCTCTTTTTTTCCCCTCACTCTTGGAAATTATTGGATCTGTGTTGGTATCATGAAGTCATGGACAGGATCTCTGATAGTTTCAGTGTTTCTTCACCTGTGCTTCATGCTAGGACAGAACAGTTGTCAAAGCACCTTCAACTTTAGACTTTGAAATCAGTCAGCTTCACAGAGAATTCACAGCAGAACTTTACATTCAAAAAAAGTTTAAGTGACAGCTACGAATGTGTCTGTCACTGAAGTGGTGTCAATAGCAACGATGAAAGTGGTAGATCGACTCAGGTGCAGAAACCTGGGAACTGCTTGCCACAAAACTCTTTGATGGTAGAAGGGTTTTATTGTTTGTAGATGCCTTCCTTGAGTATTAATAAGTCCTTAAGGTAGGAAACAAACGTATTTTTGGCCTTGCCCTGTATTTCAAATGAGCAAACAGACTCCAAGAGGTGGAGTACCTTATCCAAGGCCGTGGCTATTAGGGAACTGGATCTAATTATAACCCAGGGCTCTATGTCAGTGTGCCCCATCCCATAATCTAAAGTTAATAATATTTCTAGAGAGAGCGCTTTTCATCATGTATCTATAAATATCTTATCCTCAAGGAACTATTCCCAATCCATCTGAATAATTTGAAAGGCTGAAATAATATACTTTTTTCAATTTGGGGTTACATGTCTTATTGTTACTTTATTTGCGAATCATAATTTCCATTGTTAGATACCTGCTAGGTCCCAGGCTGTGTGCAGGTGATTTTAGCACGTGATTAAATTTCTTCCCTTCAGTGACCCTGTTAGGAAGTAATTAGTGTTTTTGCAGATTAGGAAACTGGGGCCATATATGGTTAAATGGCCCGAGGTCATAAAACTAATAAAAGTTTGAGCTAAATTTAAACTTGGATCTGTTCTACTTCAAAGCTGACACTCTTTCCACAATGTAACACTTCCTTTCTCCACCAAGTACAATATATTTCACAAATTGAGGATGTGCAACAAAGGGAAAGTCACTTTCTTTTGAGTAAATCAGCTCCTTTGCAGCCCTAATTTCTATGAACATGTATAAAAGTGGTCAGCTGATGTGATGCAACTGGAAAAAAAAAAAACCCAGATATTTAATTCAGGGATCAAGGATTCTAATCCTTATCAATGAAATATCCATTTAAGCAGGTTTACGAAGACAATGGAAAGTATAAAATAAATTGTCTTTGCTTTCTATTTTTTTTTAAAGTAAGGCATTCATTTGTAAAAACCTAAGTTTGGGATCTGAAATGTTCAAAATGACTTTATTCTCGTTAATCAGAGTCACGGAATTACTTGTTGGGTCACATAGCCAGAGTAAGTTATCCTAAATTGATACTGTATGTTACATGCCCTTGTCTTCTGACAGGGAGACTGCATGGTCGGTGACAGAGGGCTGGCTTAGGCCAGGAGACGGACTAGGTCTTTTAGACTTGAACTGACTACTATCGTGTGATCTTGAGCAAACCGATTCATTTTTCTGAGTCTCACTTCCCAATCTGTAACTTGAGAGTTTGACTAGGTGATTTTCAAGGACCCTATAAGCAGTGCTCTTTGTGACTATACTGCCACGCTACTCAGGCTAATGCCACCGTCTCAGCGACAGCCTTGTTGGGGCCCCACTCCTCCATCTGTTGGCAATGAGAGGCTTAGAGTTCTAGAGGACTTGATGTTCTGTTTTGCTTGTATTGGTTGTCAGTTTCATGTAAGGAAGCCCCAGTGGCGCATATTCACGTTTTTAACCACATTCCAACAGTTTGGGGGATGAGTGCCTGGAAAAATAGTAGATCCTATATGAATATTTTAAGGGATGTCAAAAAGTACTATTTTCAACAGCAGGGCAAGATTCTGTCAGCTTTGAACTGGGTCTCATTTATAGAATCTTAGATTTTTATTAATATTGTATCAATCTACTTAGTGTTCACTATAAGCCTTTAATATACTAGATTTGTAGCTAGTAAATTTTAATTTTATTAAAATTTAAATTAAAAATAAAAACTTAATTTTTAAGATTAATTTTAAAATTCAAATTATTCATTTCAAAATCCCAAATGTGTCACCTCCCAGTCATTCTAGAAACCAGATGTTCCCGTAAGGAGGTAATCAAAGCAGTTTGACTTTGTATGCTAGATGTCATTTCAGGCATATGACCAAAAAGATGTGTTTGCACCTCTGTATTTAATCACAGATGCATAAACCAGCTACCATATTATGTAACAAAGAATTTATTTCATTATACAATCAAAGACAAACTTATAGTATCTCTAAACATAAATTGATGAATGGATAACCTATCATTGTTTTCAACACTTTCGACTCTCACCTATAATAATTTCATCTTTAAGTTGCATATACATTCCTGAATTCTAATTTTTCCAGATACATAGAATTTATATAAAAATAAACTCGGTGTACTTCTAAAAAGTAGTTTCCGGGTCCCTATATGAATTTGACAGCAGCATACCTACTAAGACACATCCTGAGATTATTTTATCCACAGGAAAAATGAATATTGGAGTACTTCACTTGGAGTCAGTGAATTTAAAATTGTGATACTAGCTACAACACTTCATTCCTGGATCATGGTTTTGGGGATAATAAGGGTTGTTTGTAAGGTAATTTGAGAGCTTTTGAAGGAAGGTGCTATTATCATCTCCAGTGTAATATGCTCAAAACTACTTATTTGAATCCATTAAATGTAAGTGATAAATTCAGGCAATTTGGGATGATTTTAAAATGTAAACTGCAGTATTTATTGCTGTACATATTCTATCATTAGTCACTTATCAGAAGACCATGAAGTTCTGTTATAGCGTCAAAGGAACAGTGAAACTGAGAAATTAATTCATTGTTTCCAGTAAACCTGTATTGCTTTCCCTTTAATGGTCCAAATTATTTCTGAAAAGCTCCTATCATATGACACTGCCCTATATATTTATGTGGTATGTTCTTTGACCCGTCTTTGAAAAGTGACACAGTCCTGCCTGCAGTCCTGCCAACTTAAGCAGCTATATGGTATACGCAGTGCTTCTTCTTAGGTAATCATGTAGCAAATTAGTACAGCACTTCAAATTATTCCCTACCAATTCCTGCCAAAGGCCACTTGGGCACAATGTCACCATAGTAGTGCCTTCAGACCAAAGTATACGGTAGTTTCTTCACCGAATTTTTTTTTTTTTTTTTTTTTTAGGCACATATGTTATCTTACCCACAATTCCAATACATTGTTTTTTGAAAACACTCATGGGATATATAAAGTTGTATGAGGTGGGAGAGCAAAGAAGTAGGAGTTTACAACTAGAAAGGAATTACATTGCTGAGGAAAGAAGCGAAAGTAATACATATGCACCAGTCCAAAAAATATCTGATATGCTAATTGAGATAGAGCAAATGGCATGAATATGCAACAGTGGGGAGAAAACTAAGCATATCTTTTTAAGATTCTGGAAGACAAATTTAGAAGATACTTTTACCAGCTCCATGCTTGGTAAAGTGCCTTTAGGGAGAGGCCTGTGACAAGGGCTTTCTGTGATTTGGTGGACATTTGTTGCACTTACGTGACTGCCTAGTATCTTTTGAACGCCTTTCCTATGTTTGCACAGCTCCCGACCTTGTGAGTCCTGCTTCCCCAGGATAGAGGCCAGGAACTCACTGTCTCAAGTTTTCTATGTCACTGGGGTTCAGACACGTGACCTGGGCTCCACCAAGCAAGAGAGAAACCCTGCATGGAATCAATTCATTCTAGCGAGGACTGTGGAGCCCTCAGAAGCAGCAGTGGCGAAGGTCCTATCTGGGGTATCGCACGCTCTGCGTAGGTAGTACAAGCTGGCAGAGGGGAGTGGCAACAGGGCTCCCCCAAAGCAGCTGGCAGTGTAAGGGGTCATCTTCCTGCTTAGCCATTTGGCCTGATTCTCTGGACCTCCTGGGGATTCTGTGAGCTACCAAGTTGCTTTCCCACTTAAACTAGCTAAAGTTAGTTCTGTTGTTTGCAACTAAGAATTTTGACGAATATATGCTTTCTCCACTAAATCAGTGTTTCAACACAGGGCACAACTGGCAGTTTGGTTTTGATACTTCTTTGTAGTGTGGGATGATTTCTGTACATAATAAGTTTATGACCCCCAGGATTAAAAGCCAGTAGAAGACCCCAGTTGTTGTGACAACTAAATGTGCCCCCCACACTTCCCAAATCCACTCCAGGTTGGGGTCACATAGCCCCCAGCTGAGGAGCACACTATTAAATAGTGCTCTCCCACCAGCATAAACGAGTTAATACTCCTTCTCATCTTCACTTCATCAACAAGTAATTTAGTCTTGAACACATGCTCACAGGGGCTCTGTACATACATTATCCTGGATAAAAACAGGGAAATGAAACCACCTGCATATTTTATGTGACATAAATCAAAACACCTAGTTACTGCACTTGGAAAATGGCTGAAAGGATCAATTGTGATGGTAGTTATGATGTCATTGTTGCGAGAACTTTTTTGGTTTACGTGATTGTTTCGGCAGACTTAGAGGGAAAAAAGATAACCTCCAAATTCTAAAACAATATGACACGATTAACATTATTGGGTAATATAACAAGGCTATTTCTTATTCACTTTATAAAAACATAAGTTAAAAATATTTTATATTACTGGGACATAGGCTCTTAATCTGTTAAAGAATATAAAAAAATTTTAATTTTACATTATATGCTTAAGAGAAAAAGTCTGTAATGAACAAATGTAGGGATACAGTAGTTCCCTTTATTGGTAGGGATTGGGGATATGTTCCAAGACTCACAACAGATGCCTGAAACCACAGAGTACTGAACCCTACATAGACTATATTTTTTCTCTATACATATATGCCTATGATAAAGTTCAGTTTATAAATTAGGCACAGTAAGAAATTATAAAACAGAACAATTATAACAATATGCTGTAATAAAAGACATGAAAGTGGTCTCTCTCATAGTGTTGTACTGTATTCATCTA